TGGTGTATGATGAGTGGTGTATGATGAGTGGTGTATGATGAGTGGTGCATGATGAGTGGTGTATGATGAGTGGTGTATGATGAGTGGTGTATTGATGAGTGGTGTATGATGAGTGGTGTATTGATGAGTGGTGTATTGATGAGTGATGTATGAACAGTTCTTGAGTGTCCGTAACACGGAAGTTTCGTACACTAAACTTCCTTTGACCACCTAAGGCGTTCAACTCATTCTGTGGGGTTCAAAACCTGCTTGTGACTTCCGCGGAACTTCCGTTGTGTTAAACTCATCTCATCTCGTTTCAGTTGAAAAGGTTGCCGATGCTCTCATTCGTGATTCTGTTGAGAGCTCAGCCCTGGCGAACCACTTCTTTCGCGGTTGGATTCTTCATTGTTCGTGGGTTGTTTGCTGGTCATGGAATTGCTACTACATTGAGTATGTTTCATTCTACTTTTGATTCATGGTTTTGTTTCTTCATTGACCAATGACCCATGTTTTTCTGGTTTCTTGGGTTGCTTCATTTCTTGGAGGTGGAGGACGTGTTGCGAGAGAGGGGCGTCCAGCTCGAGCTCGAGGACTTGGATCCCCGAAATTTGGGCAAGGCCTGCGGGCGGCACCGATGCAAGCAACGGAAGGAACGGAAGGAATAGAAGGAAGGTGACGCTCAGAACAAGGTGCAGATTGGGTTTATGACTGAATTTGTCACAAAAGTGAGCTTGAGAACCATGCTTGGACATGCGCACACACACGCACCATGGGAGAGACTAATCAAAGTTGTTGAAACTTGGTACTAGCAAGCTCCAGCGGAGAAAGGTGAACTTGAGGAGGCCCTGAGATGAAATTTTGCAGCGACCTGTGTTGACTGAGCTCTGGTGATTTGTGGGTTGCATGATTTGTAATGAGTTTTGGCTCGCCCAATTGAGCTTTGCCAAAGAAAGCACCGCCTGATTGAGCCGTTGCAGCCATTGCAGAGTTATTTTTGTCCCCTCACGTAAGCTTATGATGGGCCACGAAGAGCTGCGCCGGCCTGGAAGGGCAGGGAACCCATAGCACAACAACTCAGCACGAGCAATTTCAGGGAAGCTACCTTTGGGCCCTCCACGCAAAGCAAATTTAAATACCTTGGGAAAGCACAGTAGGCACAGCACCTCCTGTGTTCTCAAGAGATCTCACGAGGATGGGGACCCGGTCCATGTCACATGCTTCTATAACTTCTATATACTTATTCCTGCATGTGTGTACCGTAAACCTAACATTTTGTTGTTTCATTCTCTTGCTGCTTCTCTCATACTACCAAGCGTCTTACACAAGTGAAAAGAGGGCTTTGCAACAGATTCAATCACACAACTCTTGCTACTGCTGCTGCAGGTTCTCAGCAGTGGAGAACTCTTGAAGCTTCTTCCAGTCCCGGGGCCTGCCTGAGGGGGCTGTACCGGGGTGAGCGTGTGGGCATCAAAGGATTGTACATGAGAAGAGATGTTTTCTCGACAGAGCTTGGGCTTCGCATCATTATTGTTGCGTTACCCAAGAAGACAGTCGAGTCAAGATGTGAAGTGGAAGTATCGACCTGTTAATGTCAACTTGCTCAGTTGCTGTAAAAGCCAAAGAGCATTACGCATTTGATGCAGTGCTTGCGCCTACCGAGCTCACTCTCAGCCCCTTTGCCCAATAGCCACCTCAGCCCTGAGTTTGCTTTTTCTGCACTGTGCACTCCCGCTTGCACAGAGTTGCTGTTGCGCAAACGTCGTTTGATGCTACGTAGCGTGACTGAAGGGATCAGCCATAAGGTGGAGATGCCTTTCCGCCACCATCCTTTCTCAAACAGCATCGCAATTTTGTAAACACTCATATACATTGTAAACTATTTGTTGTCAACTTCAGAGTGAAAAGGGATGGTCACGTCGGACAAAGAAAAGTCGAGTCTGGCATCCACAGTGTTTGAGCACGCCAGTGCTTGAGCTTGAGTTGGCGTCCAATTTTCGCACCAAGTCTGGGCTATAGCCGTTGACACAGAGGTGCGTGATTTTCACTGAGCATATCTCAGTACATTTCATCCAAACCATTTGGAGGTTCCGAAGAGTACAAGATGAAAAGCTTGACTTTGTGCTACTTTATGGCACACGCCGACGCCTACGACGATTTTGTTGACAAAACAAACTATGACAATATGACTTACAAGGCCCGCCCGTGAGAAGAACGAGTTTGCTTTTTTTCACTGTTGCACTTTAAATAAGTATCGAGTATGATCAGCGAAGCGTGAAAGACCCACCGAGGCTGAATGGTGTCCGCAGTGTAAGGTTCAGGAAGCAATAGAATGGGACTCACATGCTCAGATTTTGATGATTGTAGACACAGACGGCTGTAAGGCACAAAAGCTGTTGAAAGAAAAGAATGTCTGCCATTTTCTTGCATGTATGGGATTTCAAACAATTTCAGTTTTTCCAAAACGCGATTTGAGAGCACGTGAAAGGGTCATGCACTGCTCTCTCCGCAGGATATTGTGGTAGCTGAGTGTTTGCTATGGGGAGTGAGTGTGCATGTTCAGAGACAATTGGTTGTTGCGAATTTGATATGCGTAGGAACAAGAAGCTACTAGGAACACTAGTCAATAGGAAGCCTGCATAGATAGCTCAGACTCGAATCTTCAGACAGCTTACCGCCGGGATACTTGTCATGTCCTGCGATTTGGCACGTCTAAAGTCAGCGTTGAACCTCAGACAGTTTGTTGTTTGGTTTGGAGGTGCAAATTAGTTGTGATTCGTTGTAACTTGTGTTGATCGTTTTTGAGTTAAAACATCTGCGAGCTCTTTCAAATCTTTCAGCTCTTTCTGTAGCGACTTGTGCGACTTTGCACGTTTGTCCGACTTTGTCCTCAGAATCTCTACACCGCATTCCAGGTCTGCACTACGCGACTGGGAGGAAAGTCGTGCAAAGGACTGAGCAAGTTGCTGGTCTCAAAACCTGCCCCCTTCACATCTTCCCAATGTCTGCTTTTCTATTCAATAGAGTTGAGGATTGGCTACTCAACTGGTGCACTGAATGCAGATCCGCTTGCTTCCACTTTATCCTTATATAGCTGCACACAGTTGTTGATGTGCTCCCATATTTCCTGCAGAACTTTTCAGCTTGGTGCAAAGCTGCTCGGCGGTTGCTAGACAATCTGCAAGCTTCAGTACAACTAGGCGAGCTCCGAAGCATCACGGTCACTTTGCTGACAGGGCTGCAAGTTTGCAGCTTCTGAGCTTTCTGGATTTCTTTACCTGCAAAGCAGTTAGCAGAATTTGGCGCATATATAGTGGACATTTCACCAACCACAAGACACTGAACGAGAGTATTTTTGCAAGAGTTAAGCACCCCGTCAGGAAATGATGATGTCTTTTGAGAACGAAGAAACAGTGAAACAACCTGAGTTGTGAAACGGATACACATGCGTGCAATTTTGGCTACAAGTATGGCCCCCCTACTTTCTTTTTCATCGAGCCATGGAGCTTGAGGATGCGGAGATGGTGCCTGTCCACCGAGTCAGGGGGCAAGAGGCAGGGGCCATACTGGTGGATGACGATTTGCAGGAGGTAGTTGTGTCGCTCCATGGAGAGACTGCAAGCCCTGCCAAGCAGGTGAGAGAGGGTGGCCGCCGCGAACCAGAAGGACGGCGAACAGGGTCACCCACGGAGGTCATGGAGGTGGACTCGAACACTGAGGAGGAGGAGGACCCGAAATCAGGCACAGCACCAGCCACGAGCGATGCGACAGTAGAAGTGAGCGATGATCCCCAGGGCATGACCAGGTGCGAGATGCAGAAGCTCAAGTGAGTCGAAAAAAGAAACCCGGGAATATGTATTAAGTAAGGAATGTTCCCAGAGGTTCAGAAATCGCTTGGCCACCGCTTGGTATTCTGGTGTTTAAAGTGGGTATGTTACCTCGTCGCGCTAGCAAAACGCAGGGTTGCGCTAGGTTCGCGCTAGGTTTGGCGCTAGGATCAAGTACTTAGGTAAGTTAGAAAAGATTAACAAACAAGAGCTGATTGTAATGGTCACTCATTGGTGCACACACACACACCCGCACAGGCACAAGAGCAGCAACTGTTTGAAAGGCAGCGCGCGCTGAAAAAGGCAGCAACTGTTTGAAAGGGAGTAACTGTTTGAGAGACGAGAAAGCGAGTTCTTGATCACAGATGTTTGGTGGCCTCATGCACTGGCAGGGAAGCGCGCTAGATCCGCGCTAGACCCCTTTGCAACTTTGACCACTTGTCCAAGTGCTTTCCAGGGTGTATAGTCTTGGCAATTTGTTTCTGTGTGCAAGAGGATGGCTACTTTCAGCTTCACATTTGGAACCATTGGACTCTGTAAGTAAGAACGCAGCTGTTCAAAGGGCATACACAACAGACAACCATATACATGAGCGCATGTTGGGTACATGATGGCCACCGCTTGGAATTGCTGCGATTTCAACCTAGGATAATGATTTTAGAACGGGTTTTCTTTTTCAACTCAAGTGGACGAAAAGGCTTTGCTGGGTCGGTGCGGCCGTGGGCGCTGGGCATTACAAATTAGAACCAGAAGCTCGAGGACTCGAGGAGCGCCTGAAGAAGCCGAGGCGAAGGGGACCAAGGCAATGCTCGGTGTTTGAGGTGGACGAGCTCCAAAGAAGATGCCCATCAAAATGCCCAAGGGACTTTGTGGCTTCTCACCCATGAAACCTGGGGTGTGCACTTGCTATGGCTTGCAGGTGGGAAGTTCCAAGGGTGGCAAAGATGGCAAGTGCGGCAGGGGATTGCGCATGTGCACGAAAGCCTGGCAGTGCAACCAGTGAAGTGTTGCACGATGCGAGCCGTAGATGCTTTTAATTTCTCCAGGCAAGGCCTGGGCAGGCGGAGTGAAAATGTGAGTGGCCAAGTGCCATGCGCGTTTGAGTTTGCTGGGCCCTGTGAGTTAAATATGTAAGTGGTTGAAAGCTCATCTCACCGACACGAGAAGCCGGTCGCTTTCTGGTGTGTGGTGCCTGTTGAGATGTAGAGGAGTGACGAGCGGCGTGGGATTGGCCACGAACAGGAACAGGTGATAGCTCAGGCTGAGACGCTCCCAATTGTCATCATTAAGCACTTCAAACAGCTGCTCGAGAGCAATGCTTCATTGACAATGACGGTGCCAAGGAGCCGCTTGTTTCAGGGACCACCAAATCATTGGCTATGAGGCAGACGCTTGTGCCATCCCCCAAGAGCATCGCAGATGCCCGAGCCAGGTTGAAGTGGGAAGAACCAGGCAACGTGATAGAGTATGTCAAGGTGGAAGTGGAGCTCGACTACAATCTATGGGGTGCAATTCGGGTAGTCTGAGGTATTGACTCAACAAGTTCAGTGAAGGCCCAAGCATTTCATGTGTAGACTACAGACAAGTGATCACAGTGGTTGGATGCAATTTGGTTTCCCAGGCACCACGCGCGTCCCCAATGATCACACAGGGAGAGTAGAGCGTGTGCGAAATTCGTCGTGTCGAAAGAGAAACGGTAAGGAACAGTTACACAGTTTTCTGTGCCCCAAGGCTGGAACAACAGAGGTAACAAGACAAAATCTATCCGTCACAATTTTTTCAATGTTTGCTCTGACGGTGCTACCGTATATATATATATATATATGTATTTACGGCCCCGTAATTTAAGATGCACCTCATACCGTCTGTTCCGCAGTGTTGGGCTTAAGCTTTGAATGGCCTGCCCGTCCTGCGCTCTTTTTGAGGGCAATCCGTGCAGGCTCTGTCGCACTCACAAGAGGATTCGTGAGTTGCTTTGCGGAGGCCTATTGTTGAGGGGTCAGGAGGAGGCAGCACTACAGATCTTGCGGGCGGCAGCAGGAGCACTGCTGGATCTGGCAGAGGAGGCAGCGCCGGTATTAGCACGTGAGAGGCGTGAGTCGAACCCGGTCGGATTTGCTGCTGACGCTTCACTCGAACCTACATTGACTCCTATTGATCCTACGGGAGAGCGTGTACGACCACATCCTGGAGTGGCATCGGTTGAACCGGGAGGCGGAATCGCTCCTGCGCGTGTGGTGGTGAAGGACGAGCAGGCCGAGGATTCGAAGAAAGAACCCTTAGCTGAGGTCAAGGTTGACGAGAAAGACGAGGTCATCAACGAGGTTGCGATTGCTGCTTCGGCGAGTCCAGGTGAAGAGAAGGGCCCCGAAGGTGAAGAAGCAGTCAAAAAGAAGAAGAAGCGCAAGCGCAAGACAACCCAGGAAGGCAACAGGACTGAGAAGCGGAGACGCAGGCGTCGGGACGGCAGTCAGCATCCCCCCATTGAGAGGGACCCGGAACCACCTACGAGGACCCCTCCAGTCGGGACACCATCCCTTGGGTTGCAACCAGCACCCAAGCCAGCGGCATCCAGAGCCAGCAGGTTGGCAAGGCTCCCAGCGCCCCCACCTGCACCAGCTCGCCCCGGGCCCGTTGAGCCCAACTATCCACCTCCTCGCCAAGGAGGCCGAGCAGAGGGTCACCGACCCAGGGCAAGAAGGAACAGCCCGCCACGGAGGCCGCGGGGTAGCAAAGGGGTCCAACACAGACTCCGAGGCTACTACTACGGTCGTCGGTGATAGCGATGGCTCCGAAAGCAAAACCCAAGGCGAAAGCCAAAGCAGCCGTCAAGGCCCGGGCCAAGGCAGCCATCCACCGAGCAGCCAGGCGAGGCGCCTTGAGGAGGCCGGCGGGAGCACCGGCAGCAGTGGTAGCTCCTGGGGTGATAGACCGCTGGAGGGCAGGAGAGGAGGTTGCATTGAGCGAGATCACCTTGGAGGAGCTGGGTCGTGGCGTGAAGATAGCATTGACCAAGGGGTCCTACTTCCTGGCGGAGGGTCAGGTGGCAGGGACCCTGGACAGCATGACGGTGGAGGCCGGGGAAGTCCACTTGGCTCTCACCCCGACAGGCACGACAAACGAGAACCTCCTGAAACACTGCACGGGCAATCCAGGCAAGTTGATTCGTTGCCATCGGTGCACTCCGCTGTGCGCTGGAGAACGGGTCGCGGACGACCTGATCCACGGGAGCCATGCGCGTCTCCTGAGAAGTCGAGAAGAAGAAGAAGAAGGTTGGGCTTACAACCTCGTTGCGGTCGGTCCAGGAGAAGACGATCTCCGAGACGTTCGGGCACGCGCAGAAACTCGAGGAGTCGCAGAGGCCGCCAAGAAAGATCGAGAGGTCGAAGGCCGCGAGGTCAGATCCCGGTCTCGGAGGCGGAGGTCAGCTGCCAGAGGACGCAGCAGCAAGAAGAAGAAGAAGAAGGCGAGAGGCAAGTCAAGGCGGAAGGCCCGTCGGGAATCAGGTGGCAGCACCGCAAGGGCGGCGAGAAGAAAACCAAAGGCAGTGGCGCCGCCAGGGCACACGAGACTACATCCGGCAGTTCGAGTTCAGCCAAAGTGGATGGGCGTCATGCCCGCGGTGCTGCAACGAAGCCGTTAGCAGCACTGTTCGCAGGCACCGGCCTGGATCCGAAAGAACGAGTGCGGAAACGGGTCATCCGCCGCGCTCGCAAGGTCGCGAAAAGGTCCAAGTCGGCCAGGAGCAGTGGTTCCTCAAGGAGGACACAGCCGCGGAGGAGATCAGCGACCTGAGCTTGTTCGACCCAGAGACACGCCTGCAAAGAGTCGCGGAGCTGTACCCAGGCGTGCTTACAGCCCAAGCTCTAAAAGGGATGCGGTCCACCCTGTTGCAAACAATTGGGTCAGACGACCCAGCTGCTCCCCCCCCAGGCGATTTCGATGGGGTACTACCGCCAACAGTTACAACGCCGAGCAACTGGACCGGTGCATGGAGCTGATCACGATATGCGCGGGGTTGGACGCGCTGCTCAAGGGTTCGCCCTCGAAGTGCACCGACATCCTATGCCAGCGCCTCAAGTCCATAGAGGCTTCAATGTCGGGTACCCACTGGTCAGTGGCTCAGCGACTGGAACTGACACCTCAAGAAGCACAATGTCCTTGCTGCAAAAGAAGAGTTGTCGGGGGCGCAGAAGGAAGCGTACGACGACTCAAAGGTGCGCTACCTCTCGTCGCTTCAAGATGGGCGCAAGGGGAAGTCCAAGGGCAAAGAGAGGGAGGGCGCCGAGATTCAGAAGGGCAAAGGAAAAGGGAAGAGCAGCAAGGGCAACAGGGAGAAGCCGAAGGACGACTCGAATGCCAAGTAGGCACCT